TGTAGAAAAATAGGAAAGAACACGTTAGGTAAATAATGCGCGTTTCTTTAGTATTTTTGTTTTTATTTTTAAAAAACAGTGCTCCATATAGAAGTAGAGCTTAAATTACAATTATTTAAAAAAAATATGATTCCTGCGCCACATAAGAGCTCTCATGTTTCAAAAACAAGAGCCAAAAACCTCAATATAATTATTGAAATTAAATTGAAGTATCAAGCCCTGTTTCATCCTCAAGCGAAAATTTAGGAATAACCAATCTTGAAATTTACGCATTTTTATAAGCATGCTCATTCGCAAAATTAATTATTATGGAAACGGCTGGGGCAACTATTTTGATAAGGGGCATAAGAGTTAATTTGTATCCATATATCAGTCACCTTCGGAAAGAGGTCAAAAAAAAAAAGAGGGCCGGGGTTATGATTGGTTTAAGCTTTTAAACCTTTTATTAGACTATGAAATTTAATCTTTTTTTATGCTAATTATTTCATGTGAAAATTTGTTGATGTCGACAAAAAACCGTTAACTCATGTTTATGGTTTAATAAATTTTCATTATCTAGAAACTTAATAATGTGTAGTTTTTCATGTAGGCATAAAGGGCATGGGTCATTCCAGGTTTTACAAGTTCTTGTTCTATTTATTATTTTACATTTTACTTTTGGAGTTTTATTCATTTCTTTTAAATGCCAAAAATATTTGGATAGATATGTCTGATTTCTATTTGTAATATTATTGAATGAGCGTTTGTGTTGTCTCCACCTAATTTTAAATTCATTATTCGTTGACCCAATGTATATCCTTTCAGTGTTAGGACTTTCAATGGATGAGATAGTGCATTGGTATACCACAGATTTTTTGCAGCATTTATTTTCCAACGGGCAGTCTTCAGCGTTTCTACAACCACATAATTTTTCATTATTTTTATCTAATTTATTTTAGGATTTTTATTAATACTGCTTTGGCATGCGTGATTTTCCAGGATTTTATTATTATGTCTGTTTATGATTATTTCTATATTTTCAGTGCAACTGTAACTTAATTTTAAGGTGTTTTTATTAAAGATCTTGCTAAGTCTGCTATTAGTAGGAAAGTGTTTTTCAATTAAAGCTAGGAACTTATGTCCTCACACACACACACACACATACACACACATATATATATATATGTGTGTGTGTGTGAGGGCCCAGTAGTTCAATATTAGAACTGAACCACTAAACCATTTAAACAAATGACTTGGTTATAGTCTGAAGATTGATTTTTGGTTTGTATTTATAAACTTATGGATGTTGAAATACATTCTCGAAAATCATATTGTAAGTACACTTGTATGCTTATAAACTTTTCGATATCCACGAAGAACGTATGTTTGCACGTGTGCAAACGGAATGAATGATACGTTACAGCGAGGATAGAATCCCATTGAAAACTCTGAAAGACTGGGAAGGTTTAAATTGATTAAGATACAACCTCTCTTTTGTCCTCTGTTTGTATGTAATTCATTGGCACGCAGTCAGCAGCAAATAAAGAGATAACAAAATTAATGAACTAGAAACCTTACTTTTTCGTGAAAACAGACATACGACAGGAAAACGAATAGGAACGAATAATCATCGTCACAAATTATATTTCAAATCTGTTTGCAAATAATTCTGAATGTATCTCAAAATATTTCTCGTTTTACACCGCGTTCACTTTTTTTTTTCTGACATGCTGCTGACAAAATTCATTATCTACAGATTATAAATGTAAATAATCTTAAATTCATATTGGTTTCATTGAATTGCTACTTTGTCATTTTGATTGCAAATTGTTCAATATTTTTTCCTTGTTACATTTTTTTTTTCAAATGAACTAACCGGATGGATGACGTGAAACGAAGGACGACGAAAATTTCCTCGCAAATAATTGGTTCATATATTGTTCATTTTAACCGTGTCGATTGATGAGTTTTTTTTTTAATTAATAAATGCACCTGGTGAACTCTGACATCTATCTATCTATCTATCTATCTATCTATCTATCTATCTATCACACTCTGTTCATTATCTACCTATCTGTCTAGCTATCTATATAAATAGTCTGTAAATATCTGTCTTTCTCTATGAATATCTATCTGTAAGTATCCATTTATCTATCTGTATAAATAATCTTTTAATATCTACCTGTAAATATCTATCTATCTATCTATCTATCTATCTATCTATCTATCTATCTATCTAATCTCTTAATATCTATCACTACAAGTAGTCTGTTAATATCTATCTATCTATCTATCTATCTATCTATCTATCTATCTAACATACTGTTATATATGAAGAAAATGAGTAACGACCAACACCGAGGTTCAAGCGTGATAGTCTGGACATAGGAATACATGTTTTCCGCCAGGTGTATAAATAGCAATGTCAGGCTACTGACTGCAGAGACTATTAAGTGGAACTATCCAGTTGAATTATTGTGCGTCAATTATTTGGCTTTTGATTTAGAATTTACCGGACGTTAAGCCGAGCAGCACTATTAACAAGGTATTCACTGAAATGGTTAATTATCTTTTGTTGATTTTTACTTCTTTGTTCTTGTTAAGTATTTATTTGCGGTTGTAATTAAATACTGTTTTATTTTATCCATTGTAGTCTTGAGTTATACTTAATTATTAACGGCCACCGTACGTCGCAAAACTCACTCTTCATTATCTATCTATCTATCTATCTATCTATCTATCTATCTATCTATCTATCTAAACAATCTGTAATTAGCTACCTTTCTGTATAAATATCTATCTATCTGTAAATATTCATCTATATCTGTATATATTTATTCATCTATCTGTAAAAATGATCTATCTATCTATCTATCTATCTATCTATCTATCTATCTAATCTCTTAATTTATATCTAAATAGTCTGTTAATATCTATCTATCTATCTATCTATCTATCTATCTATCTATCTAATCTCTTAATATCTATCTAAATAGTCTGTTAATATCTATCTATCTATCTATCTATCTATCTATCTATCTAAATAGTCTGCTAATATCTATCTATCTAATCTCTTAATATCTATCTAAATAGTCTGCTAATATCTATCTATCTATCTATCTATCTATCTATCTATCTATTTCGCTGATACGTGGAACTGTTTTCAGTTATTTGACCTGCCAGATTACAGCTGTTTTTTTTGCAACTGAAATGGTGTCGGAATTCAATTAAATGACGTTAACTGTTGTCCTGGTTACGACAGACACCATTTGTCCCTGTTCCCTTCATTTCTGTTTACAATGGTGGCGCTTTTCTTACATACTTACAATCTATATCTGAAGACGAAGCTGTTTCTAATAGATCCTCTCTGCTTTTTATGTGTCCACAATTTGAATCATTCTGAATCTTCCGAGCAACATTTCTTTGCTTTTACTTCATGTTTTTTTTATTCAATTCCTCATATCTTGTGAGTTTCCGTGGACGAGACCTTTCAAAATTTTGGGGGTTGGTTGTCGTGACACTATGCAGAGGTATAAATTAAGAGGAGTACCAAGTGTGATTGAGAATTCCTTTTTTTTTAAATTTTTTTATTCTTACTTTGAATATGCTGTAGCGTGACGACTATTAATGCGGAAAAGGGGTTTTGGCAAGCCGTGTTCAAATTTTGGTTGATTCTGTTGCATTTACTTCGCGTTAATCCTCTTGGAAAAGGCACGAATATATATATTACCCTGTCAGACAGGAGATTCCCGTCTGACCGACTATTTAAGATGGGTAGACAAAAATCCCTTGCCTTGGTAACTAGTATAAGTAAAAAAAACCCAAAAAAAACCCGGGATTTAAAAAATTAACTCCTATAGCAAGGGAATTGTCTCTTGTGTCTCCGGATATACGTGCTTTGAAGTTTCAAGTATAAACTCTGTCTCTTCTTTCTTCATCGTTTCTCTTCTCATTACTGGAGCTTGTTAAATAAAGTATATGGCTGTACGGAAATGACTCTTTCTCTCCAGTCATCTGCAAAAAATTGAGTTTGACGATTTCGAAGCTCATTATGATGTGGTTTCATCGGTCTAATACCACTGATCTTGCCGCTATCCATACTTTTAATTTTTCAGTTGCTCGATCTTTCAGTCAAATAGTAGATTTCCCTACTTGTCTCTCTGATCAATATGCTTCTTTTCTTGATTTTCACTTTCCTTCCTTCTCCTAGATATTAAACTCACTTCTCACTTTATCGCTCTTTTTCTTCTTCCTTTATCGTTTCTCTTCTTCTCGGAACTGTTCCTTGTTAGATAGAATATCTAACAGTATAAAAATGTTTTTTTTTTTTTTTTTTTTTTTTTAAGCGATTCAAGGCGAGAAGCCACTAGGACGCAAGGGGTTACAGAAAAATTTCGAGCAAGATCAGATAGGAGTGATAGAGGAAAGGATGAGAAGAAGGATAGTGGATAGATCAAGGCAACTGGAGATGTCGATTGACATTACATTTGAATAGCTGGAGATTATAGCTCTCAGGGAAACTGGAATAGGAAAGGGAGTTCCACAGGCGAGAGGTGCGAGACATGAAGCTATTGGAGTAGAAGAGACGGCTACATTTAGGAGTTTCGACAGTGAACGGGTGGGAGCGGGATGCCAGCCCCGTGGGGCGCTTGAACTCATGAAGTCTGGGAACCAGCGAATGCAGCTCCTCGGAGCAATTGCCATGAAAGTATTTCTAAAACAGACAGAGAGAGGCGACGGCGCGTCTATGAGAAAGTGACTGTAGACGAGATTCCACAGCAGGGCCAATTATATTGCATATCCGCCTCTGGAGCCTATCAAGAACCCCGAAGCAAACAGAAGGGGCTCCAGACCATATATGGCAGCAATACTCCATGCAAGGGCGAATTGTTGATTTGTAGATCTGGAGGTGGACGAAGCAATTGACTCAAAGTATTTCTTTCTCTCTCTACATTCGTCTGCTAATATAATTTTCGTTTTCCGACTTCATGTCAAGTAGCTTCATCATTCTAATACAGGGCTTACGGCGATATCACAATCAAAACACCGGTTCTCATACGATCAGCGATGTTAGGCAATGTCGAGCTTGGTCAGTACCTAGATGGGTGACCACCAAGTCCTGTAAGCTTGGGTGTGCGGATGGTTTAATGGTTAACCCTGGAAATCAGGGATCAGTGTTTCACTTTCAGTTGCTTTCGTTTTATTCGGTATTTACCCAAGTGAGTGGGCTGTGGCACAAGACCGGATTAACGTGGAACTTTCCGAGCGCGTACGCTCGGGCAAAAATTCTCCGTAGACCCCGCATATACGGAATCGGGTGACTGTTTACCTCCCCAAACGAGACTCTGTCCGTAGGCATAGCCACGTCTGAGATCCTCTCTGCCCGAAAACAGAGAGTCCGCTCAAATACCTTTGGGAAAACTATGAATACACCACTTCTGCTCCTAGTTATGTCCGTCCTGGGTAAGACAGTAAACTACGTCCAACAGCAAGGCCTCTGATCAGGAGGTTTTGAGGAGCGTGGAACCATCTCTTAATTGCTGATGTTCCCAGGTCCACGGGGTGATAGCACCTGTTAGGGTCGTAGCTATGGGCAAATGGTTGACCCCTAAGCTGGGGTCAAAACACTATGAAAGCTTAAAAATAGGTTTTAATACCAGAAATACTTTGTAAAAATAATTATTATCATCAATACATTTTTGAAAAAAAAATATTACTAGCAATACATTTTTTGAAAAATAATATTACCAGCAAAGAAAAATTCTTACCAGAAATAGATTTTTGAAGGAAAAAATATTACCAGAAATAGATTTTTGGAAAAAGAAATATTACCAACAATGAAAATCTTGTCGGCATTAAATAACCCATTCAGGTTGATATGCCGTAAACCAAACCAAACCTTAGTTATGTGTTAATAAGTAAAAACTGTATCAGTAAATCATTATTATCTCCAACGAATTCTTACAATCTACAAATATTTTCTGATTTTAAATAAGTTGCAAAAGGTTGATAATCCTTAAAAAAAAACTAATCAATAAATCATTCAGTTGCTCAATCTGTCAGTCAACTAGTAGATTTCCCAATTAGTTTCCCTAGTAACACTGACCAACACGCTTCTTTGTTCCTTTGTTTTTTTTTATGACTTAGTGAGGTTCACCTATAACACGATTGACCCGGCTGGATCCGGTGTCCTTCTCACGCTGGTCTGTACTGCCACCGGTCAAGTGATGATTATCTGCTTGCCGCTTCGTTCCTTCATCTGCTTCTGCCCCACGTTGTGTTCCTTAATCACAGAGCAGTGAAGATCGAATTTCGTCCGTACTCGTACGCTGGGTCGAACCGCAGCGAAACCGTGCTACAGAAGGACAAAGAATGCTCCTGTTGGCGAAAATTACAAAACAAAATAAGGAAGAAGGTCGCCGGGTTAATTTGCAATTGGTTTATATAGTTCTTGATACAACAAAATTAACTCGTCCTATTAAAACGTGACGTTTATCGGACATTATCTTTTTCTTCTAAATCTTGGAGCGAGTTAAAAAAAAAATGGTGCTGTATTTTCTCGGCGGCAGGTTACGAGGCTTCTCCTGACTTCTGCCGGTTTCTGGTTTTAGGTCGTCTAAGAACCCGTTTATATGTATTTCTCCCGATTACTACCTCACCTCAAGGTTCATTAATATTCATATCAATTCATTATCTCGCCAATTTTGAAGAACCAATACTAAGCTTCAAACATATCAGCCCGCAGTCGGTCACTTATTCAAAACAATAAATTCTTCGACAACAAACTTGTTTTTATAAATTCTTTTCTGTCTTTGACGTCCAAAAATTTTCTTTCCTGTCGACTTTTCAATATGACCGATTAAATTCTTTGCGCAATTTGCATGTTTACAAATCATATTTCAGATTGTTTACATTATCGACTCATTGTTTTTCAGCTAACAAGTAGTTATATTTTACATTTCTCAAATCATATTTCACATTGTTTACATTATCGGTTTCTTTGAATCATAACAATTCCGTTTGTTTTTCAGATGGCTAGCAGATATATTTTAGATTTCTCAACTCATATTTTGGTCTCATTCTGCGGCTCTGGTTATGAGAGAGGAAAAAAAAATTCTCTTTTTTTCCTTGCTCCATATTTCAATTCATAATTTCACCATAACCTTTTTAACTCTTCCAATTCTCCAAATCCTATACGGGATTTTTGCATGAATCCTTTTCATACTACAGTGCCACAATAGTGTCTCATTAACCATTTCAACTACAACCAGTGATACACAACCCTGTACAAGGTCCGGGAGCCACTCGAGGTAGAAGGTTACTGTAGATATTTCTTTTCACTCGTGTAGGAGATATTTCTTTTCACTCGGCAAGAACCCCCCCCCATTCACAAGATATTATTTTGTTATCGAGGATTGGGATTCATTTTGCGATTTTTATTCCGACACTTCTCGTAGTAGAATCTTCAATCTTCCCTTTGAAAACTGTGCTACCATAGTTTCTTCTAGAGTAATGCGCTCGCGTCAACTCAGAGATAATAAGTGAAATTTTCTCCTTGATTCACTCCTGCCTGTTCAGCCTCTAGAACCCACATAAATCACTTCTTATGACAATATAAACGTGATAGCTCGGATCATAACAGACACTTTGTGTGTGCTCGTCGTTATTCGCTGGTAGAGTGAGACACCATATAGCCTCTCACAAGTTTGGTTCTAGTGAGTACTGGCGGCTCTGTGAAAGTGTGTTAATCAGGACTAAATTCTCAATCCCATTTCTCTTCAATGAGTTTGAAGTGTTGTCATATAATGATAAAGCAGATTGCTTTTCTCATAAATTCTCTAACAGTTACACATTCTCAAATCATCAGGAGTAGCTTTGGATGATTTCCAGGTAGGACTGAGATTCTGCTGTGTTATATATATATTTCAGTTGATCTCTCTGGGGAAGAGGTGTGGGTTGGTAAACAGTGACTTTTGTGGCTGATATAGCGAGACTCTTCGGCAAAAGCGAATTGAGTCACTGTCGGTCACTGTTTGTGTTTATCTAAAAATAAATACGCTAAAATTCACAGTCATTCCCCGCCGTACACTGACACCAATTCAGTCGGGTTTCGATCCTAGCTAGATGCAAACGGATGTCTAACCACACTGAAGAGCTATATATATGTATGTATATATAAAATTCCGTCCACGTCCTTCTGTAGTTCCTGTTTTATGAACGGGTTGATTTATTAGTCTTCAACTACTTTTGGCAAAGTACTAGAGGTTATAGTCAACCGAAATCATTAAGCATCTCCCTTCGCACGTCTTTTTTTGGCCAAACAATATGGCTTTCGTTTCTCTAGGTTTGCAGCCAATGTTTTAACAGTGATTGCTGGAGAACTCCTGGTATAGGTTTACAAATCTTGAAGTCGTTTATTATGCCGGTTTTCTTCACAAGCTTAAAGGCTATGATGTATTTTAGTTGATCCAATCATTCTTAACAGATTCATTAATGAATGAAGCGTTAAACGGCAACTTTTCTTGTTATCAACTTTGTTTCTTATTGTTGCAAAGTGGTTTCACAGTGGAAGCTTGTATTTGTATTAAGTCGGTCCTAAAATAGGTTCGACGTACAAAACGTTAGGAACTTGATATAATAGGTAATGACGCAGAGAAATCTAGTTGGGGTCGCTGATACTTTAGTATCCGGCTAACAGTCGTCCCACATCGACGGCCGGTTTAACGTGGAATCTCTGAGCCCGTATGCTCGGCCAAAAGTATGCCCATTGAACCCGAATAAACGGGTTCAGAGTCGGTTTACCTCCCCGAAACAGAATCCGCTCTTCGGCTGACCGGCTGATCGGTTGAACTCTCTGCCTTCGGGCGGGGTGGAACCCAAACGAGGCTACGCCGAAGGGCGGAGTCTCTTTCGGGGAAGTAAACCGACCCTGAACCCGTTTATACGGGTTCAAAGGGCATATTTTTGGCCGAGCCCACAGGCTCGGAGATCCCACGGGCTCGGAGATCCCACGTTAAACCGGCCTTGTGCCACATGATGCCCTCGTGGTGGGGGTGACTAAATATCGTTCAGTCTGAAGTCTGGAGTGAGGTCTGTCAGAATTCCGTCAGTCAGTCAGAGCGAGCGAGTCAGTCAGTCGAGTCAGAGGCAGTCCGAAACAGAGTCGTGTTCAGACAATTACTACTAAACCTGATTGTTCGTACTAACACTTTCTACTTCTCTATATATATTCCTGTTTGTAATATATCCGTGTTATTCCATATCCGTGTTCGAGTTCTTCTTTATTGGTTCTACCTTGGACTATCACCGTGGTACAAGGAACCGGACCATAACACACACACACACACACACACACACACACACACACACACACACACACACACACACACACACATATATATATATATTATTGAATACGGCAGACAAGGTGCTTTTATTTAGTTTTTTATACAATTTCTCATGCGATCTAATAATGTTTTTCTTTTCAGATGATAAATTATATAAAAACTTGACCGAATGTTCTTTTTATCCGAGCGCTTTCGGCTCGGATTTTTTACATGTAGGTTTTATAAAATGTTTTCATTTTTTCAAGATCTTGTGTTCATACATACAAACAACAGGCAACAAACTGTTTCTTTTTCTAACAGTTAAAATATTCAATCCTTGAAAATGGCTAAATGTATAGCAATTTCATATGCATGAAAGAGGGATTGCTGCCTAAATTCACACACACACACACACACACACACAAACACACATATATATATATACTTATCTATTAACGAGCAATCCCATTCTAATGCATCTATCATTAAAAATGAAGGACAAAATGCTTATGTCAACGTCTCCATTGTATTTTTATTAATTGTGAAGAAGTTGCCTTTTTAGTAATTAGCGTGAACTCAATGTGCATAGAAGAAAAATACAAAAAAACGAAAAACATGACCGACGTACTTTGTCACACACACAATATATATATATATATATATATATATATATATATATATATAGATAGATAGATAGAGAGAGAGAGAGAGAGAGAGCGAGAGAGGGAGAGGAGACACGGTGGAGTAGTGGATGGCTGCTCGGACTGAGAAATCAGAGACCCAAGTTC